CATTCATGTTTATTGTAATGCTATTCACAATAGCAAAAAGATGCAAACACCATCAATGGAAGAATGGCTAAACAAACACGATACATGCGCACAATGAAATACTAATGTTAAAGAATAACAGTGAATCTGTGTAACACCTCATAACAAGGATGAACTTGGAGAACATTATGCCAAGTGAAACAAAACAATTACAAAATGACAAACACTGTATGAGACCAGAATTATGAAAAGTCAAGAAAAGGTTTTCACACTAAGGGAAATAGTCTTTGATGGTGACCAGAGGTGCGAGGGAAAGAGAAGGTAAATTACAAGCTTGAAGGTAAAAAACTGCCATTGTTGTTTTGATTTACAATGACCTAATTAGGGTTTCCAGCTTTATGGGAGCAGACAGTATTATCTTTCTCCTTCAGAGCAGCTGATGTGTTTGCACTTAGCCGACCCCCCTGCTTATCCCTCAGCACCACCAGGGCTCTTTTTGCTAGAGGGTAGACTCATGTAAACATGGCCGAAGGGGGAGGCAATATATACCAAGAGGAGGTCAGTATATGATGGAGGCAGGGGAAGCCACCAGGAGGAGTGCAAGAGTAAAAGCAATGGAGGTAAACTGTTCTGTACACAATCCTGCAATAATGGTGATCTATGAGCAGATGTAAGGATAGACATGCAGGCTGAACAGGTGAGCAAAGGAGAGTGGGACTATCCCTATGAATACCTATAGGTTTGGCAGGGGATATTTGTTCCCGTGTATTTACTTTGCTGCAAATTATATATATATATATATATTATACCATACATATATATATATAGTATACCATATATATATGGTAGACTATAACGTGGACAAAGTTATGAAAACTTCTTAGACATAACCAAACTCCTTGAAGGAATGAATCACTGGGCTTGCGACCTCAGGACCAAGTCCTTGGGGACACCAAGGTCAGATGGTATAACATAGTACACGAAGTACATCCTACTTTGGTAGGACCTCCTGGTCTTAAAAGCTCATGATTTATTTGCACAGCCATCTAAAGTGTAACTAATGGTCTCTTCCTGCCAAGAGGAAAGAAGCATGACAAAAAATGAAGATGCACAGAGACAATTAGTCCACTGTACTGATAGAACATGACAACATCAGTCTCCTAGACCTGAGGACCAGAAGAGCTAGATGGTGCCCAGGCACCACTTCCACTGCTTTCTGAAAGAGATCGCATTAGAAGGTTCTGGACAGGATAGGAGAAAAACATGCAGCAAGACTCAAAATCATAAAAACAAAACAAAAACAATAACACCCAGGTTTGTTGGTTGGATCGAGACTGGTAGAACCCCTATGCGTGGCATCTACGGTAAGTCTCTAAATCACTCTTTATTTCTGGAAAGGAACTCCTCCTTCTCTCCCTGGTCCCCCCCCCATGCCCCCCCCCCCAGGGACTCCACACTTCACCCACACCCAGAAGGGGAACAATACTACTAGGAAGGTACGCATATCTTAGAATAATCAAGCAATACTGCTTTGGATAAAAAGGGCATCATTTACACAAGAACAAAGTTCGGAAGGGTTAGGAAACTGGAGGAATGGAAACAGAAAACACAGGGAGGAAATGGGATCAGTGATATTACATTGCAGGGATTTCAATCAATGACATGAAACAAAATGTGTATGAATTGTTGAATAGAAAACGGATCTGTTCTGCAAATCTTCATCCACAGCACAGTAAAAAGTTTAAAAAAAAAGGCCCAAGGTGAAGAATTCAACAAAGGAGTTATTTGGTCTTATTTATCTCATTTTAGATTGGCTCTGATTGTACTTGGTATTGCAGGAAAGGACGTGAGAGACGCTGGGGAGATAAAGACACTTGGTTGTTTGTTTCTGGTGATGATGGAGAATAGTAAACCAATGGCCAATTACTTTCAAGTCCAGTCTGACTTTAGGGGACCCCAAGTCCAGGGTTCCACAGAGTTTTGTCAGTAGTAATCTTTCCTAAAGCAGGTTGCCAGGACTTTCTTCTGAGGCGCCATGAGATATGTTCTAACTGTCAATCTTTAACGGTGGTTCTCAACCTTTCTCAAGCTGAGACCCTTTAATACAGTGTTTCATGTTGTGGTGACCCCCACCCCCAACCGTAAACTTATTTTTGTTGCTACTTCTGAACTGTAATTTTGCTATTGTTATGAATGGGGCGACCCCTGTGAAAGGGTCACTCAACCCCCAAAGGGGTCACCACCCACAGGTTGAGAACTGCTGGATTAGTATCTAGTGCTAACCATGTGTGCCACTCAGGGACAAGGTGATACTAAGTCATGTAAATCATAGTTATTATGATTGCAATAAAGGGCAGTGGAGAGCCATATTTGACCTCCTCTGGCTTCCCTATTGCCGTGAGGCAGGGGTCAAACAAACTTCCACCGTCCGTCCTTCTTGACTTATTCTAACACCAACCATTCCTCCCACAACACTTTACATCTATGCTGGCTTCCATGATTCATTGCCATGGCCACCCAGAACTTGCAGGCAATACTCACAATTCAGGGGGATTATTAGGGGAGTTAACAGACTATCACAAGTCGGATCAGCAAACAGTAAGGATACAGTCATTGGTCTCCTCAGCCCACAGCCAGGTCTTTTTGTGGTTCTTAGCCTTTTGGTCATGTGGCAGCTGCAGTCCCTTGGCCTTTCATGGCCCAGGAAACCAGCCTGCCTGTCACTCTGTCCTCAATCTGTTCCATGGTCTCCCTTCGGATAGGGAAAGGACAGGAAGGGCGTTGGTGCCTTCTCCTTATCTGTGTCACAGGCTGTGATGCATTTGGTCTCATTGTCCTCCAATATCTACTTTCAACGGAGATGATCTTGAATATGCTCTTCTAAGCAACTCCAGGTTTCTCTCTTCTCTGCTGCTGCTTCCAAGGTGGCTCATCCTTACAGCGAGGGGTGGTGGTAAGGAGATGACAAACCCTCTTTATTAGCTACACATGCACCATTTGCATAACCCCACCCAAGCATCTGGTAGTTTACAGAGACTTGGGTAGAAGAGCCACATTAAGAAATTTCACTCCACCACAATGATTATGCATTAATCCTCAAAATTCTACATATTTTTTGACAGATACTGAATATTTGCTCACTCACTTCCATGGTCGCTTCCTTCACAAATTTTGCACTGTTAAGGAACTTCCTCTATCCAATCTTTTCTAAACTGGAAATATTTAGGCGACTTTCCTCAAAAACTCTCGATCTAAAGGAAATAAGTGAATTGGCCCCTTCTAATGATAGGCAATTTGAACTCAAGTCTTTGCAAACGCCAGCCATAGCATACCAGCCCAAAAGAACTAGGAAGCTCATTATGTCCACGTCTAGTTAAACTTAGGCTGTTTAAGAAAATAACAAAAGGTTCTGGATTCCATTATCCTTGGTGTGCCTTTCCTGCCTGCCCCATTTCTACAAGGCCTTTCTTTAAAGATTAAAACCATGGAAAACCCCATGACCCCCTCCCCACCTTCGCACCAGTTACATAGTGCTGCCCAAAGAAACAACAACAATCACCCCACCAAACCCAACTCGCTGCCCTTGAGCCATTCTGACTATGCTACCCTAGGGTTTTTGAGGCTGTAGGAGCGGGCTGTTTCGTTCTGTTGTACATAATATGGTTGCTATGAGTCGGAAGCAACTTAAAAAAAAAAAACCGAAAGAAAGTTGCTATAAGAGTAGTCTACATATAGCCTCCTCCCTGGGGGACGGACAACAGAAAAGTGGGTGAAGGGAAACGGCAGACAGTGTAAGATATGACAAAATAATACTAACTTGTAAATTATCAAGGGTTCATGAGCGAGGGGGCAATGGGGAAGGAGGGGAAAAAGGAGGAGCTGATACCAAGGGCTCAAGTAGAAAGGAAATGTTTTGAGAATGATGAGGGCAACGAATGTACAAATGTGCTTGATACAATGGATGTATGTATGGATTGTGATAAGAGTTGTACGAGCCCCCAATAAAATAATTTTTTTAAAAAGTAGACAGTCTCATTTTTCTCCCACGAAGGGGTTGGTGGAGGGGCTGGTGCACTCGGGTTGCCGACTTTGAGGGAAGCAGCCCAATTTGTAACGCTCCATGCCAAACGGGGCAAAAAGCGACACGAGGCACACATTTGGGCCCAGTCTGGGGCTCTGAATGAGGATCAGACCTGGGATATTTGGGCCAGGGCGTGGGCCTTCCTGGTAAGGCAGAAAACAAAACAATAAACAGACACACCTCCCTCCCAGGAGACTGTGCTGTTAGGACAAGCAGCCCCGTCTCGGAACGTGACTAAGAAAGGAAACAGGACGGAGCTGGGTTTCCCGAGCTCCCGGCGCCCCCAGGG